TTATGGCAGGTTATGCGGCCTTGCTGGAGCCTCGGCCGCATAATCTGCCATAACGGAGCCTGATGCCTGGTGCCTTGTTCTGGTGACAGTCGGCCCGGCTCGCGGCAGGCGCCCCCTGCCATCTATGCGCCCAGGGCGAACGCGCCCCCCTGGTTGTTACGCCACTGCATAGATCTCACAGGTTTTTTAAAAGCTACTATCTTTTTTAATGTGATATTAGGTCACTGGCCTCTGTCGGCCTTTGGCTTATTTACACTATGTAATGCACTTATCATTGCACCTGAGCAACACAGGTCACTGCAAGGGCACATAGAAAACAATTCTTTTCAATGTTCCCCCGTTCACAACACAATGCAGTGGAGAGGTGTGGAAGAATGCAGTATGTCTAGAAACTAAGCAACGGCAATGGCATTTGATATAGACTTTCTGGGTCCTATGAAGTGGAATTCGATCATGTGCTAAATAAATCAGCATTATTTTTTGTAGTGAATTTTATTCTATATTAAAATATCTAGTCCAGGGATCTTTAAACAATCATTGCATTTAAGGAAATGTGTATCAGAAATAGGTTTCACTTTGTCATATTTATCTAAGAGTTTTCTTTTTAGTGTCTGAAAATTATGCCAGTGGTTATGAAATACAATCAAGCTGTTTTCATATTATAGACAGTCTTGTGGGTGCATGATCTCTGAGTGTCTCATGATGATCACATTATCACTGGTTCCACTTGTTGCTTATTATCTGTGGCAAACAACATTTCCAGGTAGCCAAAAAACACAGAGTATGTAATATGCAGTAGACTCTTATTTGGACATACTGTGTCACTTTCAACAGGCTTATATTTGTCAAAGGGATATACCGCCCCATGGAAAAAGAGATTATATGATTTCCTTTAACTTGTATAATGCCCTCCTTTCATCTCCCAAAAAGTACAGAATTGTACTGAATATGCTTATAATTTCCTTACTGTTTTCAGATTTTAAAAGGGCATTAGTGAAGCCAAGATAGACTACAAAATAAAACAAACTTTTTCCCAGCCAGAGAAACTCTAGAATTAATGCAGGCATTCTGTGTCATGAGGAAGATGACTGGTCTCCCAAGGAATGGAGACTAAAGAGCTTCTTGTCTTCAACAGAAACCTCTACAACGAGATATGGGTTTTTCTGTATGAGGCTCCCAGGTTTATTTATAAATTGGGCCCATTGCAAACAATGAACTGCAGGCAGATGACTAATTGAGGTAGCAATTTGATAGCTATGTGCCAGGAACAGCTTGCGATTAGGGTCCGCTTTGTCAGTCATTACATAAGAACAGATAGGCGTGTGGTAGTGCTGGACAAGTAGGGATAAGGATCAGTTTTCATGTAAATCCAAAAAAGGCGGGGTACTCCTTGGAGGAGGTAGACATGTGATAACAGTATGTATGTGTGTGTGTGTACCTGATTAACCTCCTTGGCGGTATTCCCGAGTGTGGCTCAGGGTTAATTTTCTGTACCATAAGCGGTAACCCCCGAGCCACACTCGGGAATACACAGCGCGTCTCTTACCTTGCACCTGGAAGTCACCAGTGTTTTGTGAAACCGCAGTCAGCAACATCCAAGCTTTACATCTGTACAGGGGCTGTTGTACGGCCCTGGATACAGCCTTTCTGCGTCCAGCAAACGACACAGTTGGGTATAGGTTGTCACTGAGGTCAATAAAGTTTGGGCCGTGCATGCACTAGGGGAAGAACTTGGAAAAGTCTGAAGAGTTGATGTACTACTGATAATATAAAGGATCCCTATTGAGTACAATATTGTATAACTGTTCCTTCAACTACCTAAACACCTTGGCACTGTTATAGTTTGAGCCAACCCCTTACGCTAAACAGCTTAGACTGCATATAAATGTTCAGGATAGAAATAATAAAGACCCGGAATAATAAAAAGAATTTATTTACTGAATATTATCATTACATGTATTAACCCCGTACAGTGATTAGAATGAAGTGGGGGGAATTTATCAACAGTGGAGAAGACAGAACCTGGAGCACTTGTCAATACAAACCAATCAGCTTCTCTTTTCAGTTTGTTCAGTTAAGCTTTGAAAATGAAAGAGAAACGTTGATTGGTTACTATTGGCAACTGCTCCAGATTCTGTCTGCTCCAGTTTTGATAAATTCCCACCTATTTTTTTTTGGTGGTAGTGGTCCTTTAACATAAATGTGCACTAAAACGACAAGTACTTAGAGAACATGTTGTAGATTGTAAATAAATAAATCCATAAATACTTACATAAATAAATAAATAAGCAAATATTGCTGCAATACTCTCTTTCAATCTGTGGGTTGACCCCCACTGTACTGCATTTTTGCCCCTAGATGTCCTCTGTCTTCTGGGTTGAATGATGCCCAGAAGCATTCAACCCACTTACTTTGAGGCAACCATGGAGCTGCCCTCTGGTCAAAGAGTAATAGTCTTTGCTGCAATGGCATGTGAGCACTGTTTATTTTAGCAATAAGAACTGCTACCACCGCCAGAGAAGAAGAGAAAGGACCCACGATAGAACTGCAGTAGATTCGTTTAAGCAGACTCAGTTTAAAAGATCAGCCAAATTAAAGAAATAAAGATTGGAACATTACAAATCTTTCCTGATGTAAATTCAGAAACAGATTTATATAAAAGTATTCCAAGTAACTGAAA